CGCGTTCGCAGGCCTTTTGAGGCTTCAGACTCTCGGGCCCCGGTTGTATGTTTATTGTTATTATTGTTATTATTAGTATTAGTATTATATACAATATGTATATATATATATAATATGTATATATATATATATATATATATACATATGTTAGTTCGCTATTTACTTTTAACAGGATGCACTACTTTTGTGGGGGCTATGCGGGGGTCATGGTACATGCATGTCTCCAAGAAGCTTTCGCTTTGGGTGAGGCGGAGGTCCCTACGCCAGAAGCGTTGCGCCCAGCGGGCGCAGCGGGCGCCGCGGGCCCAGCGCTACGCCACGTGGGCGCGGTCGCCTCGGGCGCTGAACGGAGGAGCACCTTGCTGCGGTATATGCCTGAGGGGCAGACACCTGAGCACTTGCTGGCGAGGAGTTTCAGTGAGAACCACCCCAAATGCGCACGCTGCAGGGCCGCAGCACGCCCTGCGGTGCTGATGTTTGGAGAATGGGGAGATAAGGAATGGCTGGATTCGCAGGGCCAGGTCTCAAGATGGAGCAATTTCATGCAGGGGCTTGGAGAAGTCGTGGCTGCCACAACCAATTTGAGGTGTGTTCTCTTGGAGATTGGTGCTGGAACTCGTGTGCCCACCGTGAGACAAACCTCTGAGCAGATCCTGGAAGTCTTATTATCTGGTGGCGCAAATGCCAAGCTTCTTCGGGTCAATCCCAAAGATGCCGAGCCCGATGACGCTGACTTGGCTGAACACATATTGAGCTTCCAGTCGACTGGGCTGGAGTTTCTGAGGGCAGTGGATGCATTGCTGCCAGAGGTGAGGTGACAACTTCTGATAGATGGTGGAGACAGGGAGAGTAGTTTCGTCACTGGATCTTGGACCATTTCAACTCTACCGTTTCTGCAACTTTATGGGCAACAAAGAATGTATCCAGTGACCCAACCGCGTGCCTGATACTATGAGCTTCTCCCAGGAAGCAGACATCACATCGACTCAACTTCGAGAAGCATCACATCAACTTCACAGATCACCGGTGAGCTAGGTCCACTCCCATGGAACTGAATTGATCGTTCCGTGGCTGAGAAGTGCGAACAACCGCCTTCGTGGCACAGTTCTGTGGGAGGTCGTCACGGTCGGCCATTTTTGGCCAGCTGCTTCCAAACACGGTGGCATCTTGGAGAAGAGGTGCTGACTCGGTAGATTGCAGAGTGTCATTCTCTCTCTCCATTATGCGCTGCACTCAGCGATTCTCAATCCTTTGTGGTTTTGGGGCCATGCATTTTCGACGATTCAACTCCCAGAGGCACCCCAGAACTGCGGTGCGCGGTGAAAGAAGGCGGCGCGCTTCCAGTGCGGTGATAGACACAAGGCACGAAGCCAAAGGGCACGGTGAAGCCAAAGGCCGGAGATGGCCAATGTTCAGCTTATGCTTCTATAGATGGAAAGGGAAACTGCGAGAGATGGGGAACGCCTGCATACGCCGACTTGGAGGTGACAGAGCGGCAGTGGCTGGCAGTGGCTGGCAGTGGCTGGGTTTGAGATAACACAAACAGCAGAGCCCTGTCATTCTTAAGTCCCCTATCAGAATACTGGTCTACCAAGAGACTTGGGAATTCAGGCCGATCGGTGATTCGTTCCTTTTTATATAGCTGGTTGGGAGTTGGTGTCGGGGACGAGCACCGCGTTTCCCAGCACCGGAACGATCCCGGCGCGGGAACGATCCCAGCGCGGGAACGCGAGGAGCTGCAGCAGAGTGTCTTCCTTGGTGCGTCAGCCGCAGAAGTCAAAGGCAGGGAAGAGGAAGGTGTGTATTAAACTACAAAAACAACACACCCAAAAGAATTGCTGGAAGAAGGACAACCGAGCAAAACTTAAGAAGCGCGCATGTCGCTTCTTGCAGCAACAGTTTTGCTCCACGAGAGTCATTCATGTGGAGGAAGGGTGCTTTCAGCTGCCCCTGAAACATGGCCCAAAATAAGCAGTCAGCATCAGTCACCAATATTAGATGATTTCTAGTAATCAGTCAGACCTCTGTGTAGTTAGTCTAATTATCAGTCACTCTTATTTTGGACCTTTTGAAAGACCATTTCAGACCTGAAAGAGGGAGACAATGGAGAAGCAAATTACTGTGGATGCGATTCCCAGAGATGTGAGAAAGATGTTGTTTGATTGGAAGTCTGTCCAAGACCTCTTCAACTCCCCATCTTGGGCCGCCCCGAGCCGCTCGCCCCTCCGGGCCAAAACGCGCGACCTACCTGGGGCGTCTGGAAGGACCCGAGCAGCTCGGCTTGTCCGACAGCCAAAGTAGTGAGGCGCGTCACCTGCACCTGCGATCCGTGGCTCGTGGTGAGCTGGCAGTGGGCAGTCGACAGAGTCGGTTCAAAAGATTGGGTTTCAGTTGTGTCATGCTGTTTCTTTTTCCACCTTTGATTTGACAGGAGGGAATAGTTGAACCAATGTTGAACAGATTCTCACAAAGCACGAAACCTTGGGACGCATGTGCTAGTCCACAATAAATTTCTCAACGAAAGCCCATGCTACAGAAGCAAGAAGCAAGAGTTTCACAGGGACGTAGGTCCGAGGCTTCTGCACGCGATCCCTGGCTTCCCACCTTCCACTTCTGCTCCCCTTACAGGGAACGAAGCATGTTCCGCTGGTTGGCCCCACTTCAGATCGGCCACGGCAGAGCCGTTTCTCATCTTAGGATCTTCTTTTTTTTTTTGGCAGAGAGGAGGCTTTCCAACTGCTATACTTATTCAGTACATTTCAGTACATCATGAGTTTTTTTTTGTGGAGACCTTGATGTCAAGCGTCTCAAGAAACATGCACGACATACCCCCATGTGTAGATTCTAGATTCTAGATGGATCCCTGTCCTCCGTTGATTCCACGCCAGCCATGCTCTGGCTGCGCCGTTTGCACTGGCGCGAACTCGTTCGAGCGCGGACGTCCAACGAAAGCGGTCGACTTTCCGGCGCCAGGCCACGTCCCAAGAACCGGAGGCCGAGTTGGACTCCGAGGTGCCGGACTCGTGGATGGGTGGGGAGGACTGGAGGGTTCCGGCTCCTTAGGGATGGTTTGTTTCAGTGACTGCGCTGTGAAAACCAGCACAGTCACGTGCTTGGTGCGCTTACAGCACGTCGTCTTGGTGGGTGAACCGAGCGTCTCAGAAGTCGGATGCGTCGCGACGGATCCAGGCACGCTTGGCCGGGAGGGTCTATTCCACCTCAGAGGACACGATGCGATGGCGTTGGGAAAGGCTGATTGAAGAAGGTGATTCCTATACCAGGAGTCACAAAGGAATTGTTTTTTAGATGTTTTTAGTATTTTTCCCCAAACAATGTGTCCACACAAAACAATCTGATTGGTGCTTTGGCAGCCAGAGAGTTCAGTTGTAGGTGGGCCTCATTCCTTCTAGTCCAGTCGTCAGATCAACACGAGCCTTACATTTCACGTTTTTCACGTACACTTGTATGCCTTTGCTCAACAGTTTAAGACTTTGTGCCATTGCCCGTTTCTGATTGTTGTTTTTTAGTCTAATCCCCCGCAAAAAAAGGGGCAATGCACTTCAGGAGATTCTCTACTTGAAGAAGAACATGGAGAACTTGCGAAAGCAGAAGTGTCATTTGCAGCTCCAGGCCGTGAACCACGGCGGTTCCCGCGCTCCAGGAATCTGAACCAAACAGTCGAGAGAGAGAGACTTGGAAGAAAGCATGTGTCAAGCATCGCAATGGACGAACCAATCGCAGACGATCCAATGAATCAAACCATTTTGGAATGATTTATTTTTTATATGCTTCTAGCCTTCTAGCTACTCATTAGTAGCTTCTTGTTACTAGTAGCGATGGCCTCCAACCTGCTTGCGAGTGCCTCCACCTATATAGCGTCCTTGCTACTGTATCGTTTCCTCATCTCTACTTGTTTGTCACTGGGATTGCGTTGACTGAGCGTTGACCCACGACTGTGGCGATGCCTCGATTGATCAGGTGGAGAACAGTGAAGCCCGGCAGCGGACGGTGGAGGCCCAACGGCAGCAATACCAGAAGCTCTACGAGGAGACACATATGGGTCTATTATGGTTTGCTTCTAGGTTGGAGGTGATCGCTAGTAGTAACAAAGGGGATCACTACTAGTAGCAAGGAGCTATAGTAGCTCCTGGCATGACTAATGTAGACTCTTGATTAATAAACCCTTCCATTTGAATTGGAAGTCCTCTTCATATGGGGTTTATTAATCAAGAGTCTACATTACTAGGAACAAGAAGCTTCTAGATTGGAGGCCATCGCTATTGGGTTGAAGAACCCCCCGGCCAGCCCGGCGGAGTGGACGTGGGAGCGACCCAGCGGGCGGTCCTGCGGTTTCCTCAGTGGACGTTGGAGGTGAATGACTGGTTCATCCGAAGGCTGTTTGCACCGAAGGGGTTGACCTGTCTCTGAAGGGAAAACCAGGTCTTTGAAGGTGTCCGGAGTTGCTGGGGGCGGGCATGGAAGGTACAAAACACGATCATAGGACCACGAAACCCAGCACGATTGGGAGTATGCCCTTTCTTTTTGGTCTGAACACACATCGAGCAACTTCTTCTGACAAAAGTCGCCACACGCCACACATGCACACGAAGAATGGAGGCACACAGGGCTTTGTTTGTTTGCTCATGAGGTACGTTTCGTTGGGTTCCTCATTTGACGATAAGCTCCACATCCTCCTATGCGCTCATACCAAATCAGCCCTACTCTGAAATTTCTATATACCACCTACATGAATTCCTTCTCATCACAGCTGCGCATGGGCCCTTATTCCTCATTCTCCAGGAGTCGCTGTCACATGGGCCCTTCGCCCACCTGGGCGAAGGCGGTTCGTTGGTTCGGGACGGATCTATGGGTGAACTCGGGAGGGGAATGCTGCAAAGATAGAAACCATTTCATGTGATAGATCCTTGCGGAAGGGGGATTCATGTTGCATCAGTGTTTCATCGCTTTTCTCTAGGTAAATATCAGGTTGTTGCCACCAGTGGAACCGAAAACCCCTCCAAACCGGCTCCTCCACCGCGAGGAGCCGAACGAGTGACGTGACCGCAGGGCCGAACGCTCTCCGGCCCAGGGCGTGGTTTGGAGATCACCGCTCTGCAGCAACAACTGGCTGCGCTGTTGATGCTCAAGGAGCGGCGCATTTGGCTGCACTGGCTGCGACGTGCCACGAGCCACAAAGAAAGGGCGCCTGTGGGTGATGTTTTGGGGTGCAGTTTCATGCAACTAAGTAGTAATTCAACCACCTGCAAGAGTCGCAGGCGAATCGCCTTTGGCTACACAGAAAGAAAGAACGGGTGCAGTTTCTTTGTTCTTTCACGGGGCTTTTGTGGGATGTGATTGGTGTTCAGAGTTCATGGGCGAAATTGGCTCACCCGGTCGGTTCACTTGGAGCGTTTCTCACCGCTCCGAGTTCCGCTCCGAACCCACGGAGGGAATGGGGGTCGGAATGGGGGGGTGCAGGATGCCTTGAACTCGGAGAATGTCGAACTCCAAGCGCGCATCAAGGCGCTTTTTTGGGAGCGCTGGTGATGGACTGCATCTGGTGTGAGTCGATGTGAGTCATTTGTGAGAGGAGCAGATGTTGATGACCAATGTCATGACCCGGATGTGACGACGACATGAGGTGTGGGCACATGACCCCAAGAACTGCAGGAACCGGAACAAGACAGCATCCAAGACATTCCCACACCGTATCTGGACCATCAAGGAGGCTTTTGGGGGTCCAAACCCCTGCTATGGAGGGTCCAAGGCTTGTCTGGGCAGATGTCTTCTCAAGCAGAGAAAGGCACCAATCATCACCCCGACGTCCTGCAGGGTTTGGAGGCGGAACGCTCCCGGCGCAGCCCTCCGTCGTCCTGCGTCTCCTGGCGGACGTTGGGAGGCCTTTGGTTTTCGGTTGGCTTGGTTTTGCAGATCTGCTGATTTGTAGTTTCCCGAAGTCGGTGACGCCCCTGGCATGGGGAAGCGAATTTGATTGATTTGATTGTGTCCGGCTGGACAAAAGGATCAGGTTGGAAGAGCAGCAGAGGCTGCGGAGGATCGTTTTACTTAGAGGGCCAAAGTATGAACAAACATGTATGAAGAATTTCCAGCAAGCTTCGGAGACTGCTTGCAGACTCCCCGATAGATGTGATGTTACATGAGGTAAACTACAAGGCCAATAGAAGTTCCTTTCGCTTGTACGGCCTTGGCCTATTTATATAAGTTCATTTCACTCTGCCCACGAAGGATGCAACGACTTGGCCGTTTAGCTTCAAGTTTGTTTGCTGCTCTCCATGAAACAAGCGTCCAAAGGGCAAGATGGAGTGTTCAGAACAGACGCGCAAATCTACAAAAGATGTGCCTCCAGAAAAGATGGCCTCAAAGTACTGTATTTATCTGGTTAAGTGCAGAATTTATCCTTCCA